TAATCTTCACAACCACATATGTTTACAAATGAAGATGCCGAGGTCTAAAAAGATTGAGTAACTTGCTCAAGGTCATATAGCTAGTGAGTGAATGACAGATATTTTTCTTCCAGCCCAGGACTCTTTCATTGACTTTGCAGCAGTGTACCTGTCTTTTCTCTTAGAAATGCTAAACGAGCCATTTGTGTTCAGATCCATCCTTCTAGAAAATTGAGTCCTGATGGCTGCTCTGATTCAACCCACATTTGCCCCAAGAATTTTTTTCTGCTCTGTTTATGCCTATGAACACCTCACTGTTACTTGAATTGGCTCCTGCTTGGCTCTTATCTTCCCTGTCTGGTTTGATGTGTCTGACTTTCTTTCATCTCAATTCAAATTATTCCCTGATTTTTTTCTTTTTTTTCTAGTGACAGAGTCAAAGTGTCTTCCTGGTATTGCTTTTCACTAAAATTAGTCAGCCTTATAGGAACTTGCTGGCAACCCTACCTTTCAAGAGTACTTCCTATTTTCCCACTCATTATCATGACTATGGCTAGACCAGGCATATTCATGTTTAACCCCTCAGACCTTGCCATGTTCAGGCAGAAGCCATTTTGAAAAATCAAGGGGTATAATTTCTCAGGTATATCTAATGTGTGATAAGAATTCTTAATAACACTCTTTACATATATTACTAAATATCAATGTAAGAAATGCTTATATTATAAGAAATAATAAAAAAGAGTGGATTCTTTCTGACACTTCATTTAAATTTTTACACACACTGCAATTTATTGCCAAAAGTTTTTTGGCATTTGGCTCCTTATCTTAGATCTAGGCTTTTACTTTCAGTTGCTTGTTGCTTTTTGAATGTTCACTGTCACATTCCTTTTTAGCTTGCCCTCCAAACCAAACTTTTTTTCACTTCTCCATTTCTGTCATTAGCCATTTCCCTTTTAAAAAAATTCCATCAAGTCTAAAAGCCATGTAGTTATCTCTTAGTACTTCCACTCCATCATCCACTGAGGGGACCCAGGCATCAAGGTATCAATGTCGGTTGATTTTTCATTTAAAATATATGGATCCAACAGTCTTTCAGCAACAGTGTATTCTAGTACATCATTACCACATCCCTACTCAGTACAAGAGAGACTTTCTGTCTTCTGTCTCTGCATATGTCAAGCTACGCTGTATGCCACAGATAAGTTAATTTTCCCAAGACATGACTTTTATTATGTCATTATGTCATCTACTGTCTATTTACTAAGAACAAACTCTTCAGCCTGATAACAGATGATTCACAAAGAGTAGCTTTTCTTCATGTTTCCCCTGCTTGGATTTACCCTTTTTTTAAAGGTACTTCCCTCATTCAGCTGAGTAACCCTTCATCTTTCAACAACCCATTTTAATGTCACTTTCTCTGTGAAGTCTTTTCTGAACTAATTAATCATTTGACTCTGTGTTTTATAACATCCATCATATTATAATACAGTTACCTTTTATTTGTGATTTTCTTTTAATTTCTTTTTTTACTTTTGAGTTCTTTAGCTTAGGGATTAGATTTTAGTCATATGTTTATTCCCCAAACACAGTACAATATCTGGCATAGAGTAGGAAATTAATTCATATTTGTTAAATGAATAAATAAAGGAATAAAATAATAGTTGCTTTCTTATTTTCAACTCTGTGCATTTATTCATACTTTGTTTACTTTTCTGAATAGGCTTTGCATTATTCTCCCAAAATTCAAATGCAGTATATTTTTGAAAATAGTTCAATATGATATGACATATTCAATATTATTGGAACTGTTTAAATGTAGGCATGTATGCAACAACTCCAAGAGGTGTATATATTAGAGTGGTAACATTGAACTGTTAACATTAAACTTCTTGTAAATAGATTTTAAATTTCTCCATTTTACCTTATTTTGCTACTTTTTGAAAGTGGTAGAGCAGCTTATCATGGTGTACTGAAAATATAAGTAGAATAAAAACTAACAGTAGAATGTGCCATAAGTATATTATTCCCTGCACACACACACACACGCACACATACACACACACACACGCACACATACCCCATTTTTAAAAGTTCCTTCAAGGGTCAGTTAAGAGTCTCCCTCTTCCATTAAACTTTCCATAAATAATTCTATTATTTATTCTATAAAATAATATTTCTATTATTTTTTCTCAAAATTCTATAGCATTTCTAGTATGTAATAGAAACTAATTTTTGTTTACTGTGTCTAATTATTTTATCTCTTATCTCACATTACAGCTAAGATTTATTTAACTTTATTTTTAAACTTTCATAGTCTCAGGTCAACAGAAGGTAATTAATCAATACTTAGTAATTTTTGCTGTTATCATTGTTATTATTGATGAAGAGAAGGAGGATGAGGCCCCTAGCCAGGGACTGACAAACTAAGATCATTTCTTATTTTATAGTGACACAAGTCCTTATAAAAAATTAGTACCTTCTTTCCTAGAAACTCTATAGTTTGTTAAATTGGATTTGCCTCTAGCTAGAATTTTCTTTTTTCCTCCTCAATTCAAGGTATTCTTTCTTCTAGCTTTGTGAGTGCTCTTCTGCCAGAGTTTTCTTTTTTTCTTTCTCTTTTTCTCTTAATCTCTTTTAATACTTTTTCCCTCAATTATACAGTATCATTCTCTCCAAAAAAAGAGAAGTTGAAATTTTTGCTAATGACTTAACACTACTAAATTTAAACACTGCTTGAAATTCTACTGACTAGACAAAGGTTTGTTTTTCTCCAGAAGCATAAAGTAATATATAAGGCATAACTTATATTTGCTTAAACAAGAAACTTTCATTTTTGAAATTTACCTTAGATTTTATTTTCATAATTACATAGCAATTTACTTTATACCATTTAAAAAAATCACATCTAGCAAACCAATGTATGTTTACTAAATTTTAATATTGATCAATATATATTTTTGTTGTTAAATGTTAATAATTAGGATTTTAATAAAGCATTATTTTAAGTTTATTCTACACTGCGATTTTTTTATCAGATGTTTGAGTGACATAATGAAATGGGCAATCACTATTTGAAGAATTTAATATTATTTTATCTTCGAATGAAAATCACCTCTTCAATTGGCATTTTTTATAAATAAAAGTGTTCACTGGTCAAGTTGAAGACTAATTATACAATTCATGATTCTTCCTATGAATTCCAATATCAGATAATTTTAATGTTAATTTAAAATTAAATGATTAACAAGATTGCATACCTACTTAAAGGTAACATTAACATTTTTATTTTGGAAATACATAATTTTCTCTTATTCTCTAAATCTAGACCATTTGTCTGAGGTATTTTCTTTTTAGTAACTTAAAATGAGTATTGTAAATACCACATTTTTAAAATTTTAAATTGTAAGGTCCAACTTCATTCTCCTTAATTCGTCTTGAATTAGGAACTTAATTTGAAAAGAAATACAGTATTAATTTATGTCATATTTGCCAATTAATTCATTATAAGTTTGAACTTCTCATTGTGGCTTCTTACTGTCTGGAACAGCCTCTGGGACTCTGATTTTTGGTTCAGTCATTGCTATATTGTCCTCTTTGATGGAGCATAAACCATTGATGTGAAACCCTTTGGCCAAAAAAGGACTGAAGAAATTAGGTATATAGTCCACAGACTATAAAAATAAGCTTTTAGAAAATAAACCTTACAGTATGTAGTTGAATGGCTAATTAATTAAATTGTTGATTAAACATACTAAATCACTGAACAAAAATGTTTCTTTAAAGTCCGATTTAAAGTAACACACACACATACATGCCCAGTTAACTATTGTTTTCTTAGCATATTTATTCTCCATTTCCATTTTTTAAAATCCATGATTGGTGTACTCTCAGCTTGAAATCACAACTCACTCATAAATAACACATTATTATCTTCCGGCTCAAAACTAGGAGGCTCAAAGAATTAGTTTAGAATTATCCAGAGCAATTTAAGTGTAGCATTCTTTAATCTCTGTAATGATATTCCTCAGGTCCCAGCTATCTAGGAGCTATTTAGCTCTCGTTATCTCTTGCAACTTCTTTTTTCTTTCTCTCCTCTCTCTATGAAAGCGGGAGACCAGAAGCACTAACAGACGCCCACATTTTTGTTAACAAAACCTAAGCTGTTTTTTTAAAGAAGTCTTTCTAAAACAAACAAAAACAAACAAACAAGAGAGGTACTTTTTCTTTACAGTTTATTCCTATAATAAGTTAACTTTTATTAGAGCAAATAAAAATATCTCAACAACACGCAGAAGTCTCATGATTCTTTCTGTTTTCATGACTTTATGATAATAGATTAATACCAATTATTTCCATTTTATGTCCATTGTTCTAAATTCCCATATATACTCTACATCCACAGATATTATAATTTAATGTCAATATGCATTTTATTATTTGTTTTGGTCTCTTAAAATTCTTTCAGAAAATAAATGTGAGTGTGTATGTGTGTGTGCATGTGTGTGCGTGTGCATAAGAAAGAGAATGAGAGAGAGAGGAAGAGAGAAGAGAAGAGAAAGGAGGGGCAGGGATAGAGAGACTGAACTGTTCAAATGGCTAGAAATAAATAGTATAAATAGCAAAATAGCACTGGAACCCTGAAATTTAGTTATTCTTACATTGACCTCAACTAAAAAGGTTATTTGGAACTAGAGTTATAGTCCTGGCTCTGCCAAATGACCAAATAAGCTTAGTCAGTTTCAGTATGTGTCACTGTCCAAATTTGCTTTAACCACTGTTAAAGCACAGAGTCCACTGTTTTTATCTATTTGTAGCTCATTGATTTTTTTCATGTGCTCAGATCATTTTAGAGTAACTTAAGGGGCATTTTATTTACTGGGTTATCTTTAGAGTTAAGTCTTGCCCTGTAGGCCTAGGAGCATCATCACTTAAGTAACACACATTCTGTTCATGTTGTCACACACACTCTGTCATAGCCATGAGTCACCTATGATATTGCCCCATTTACTGTGTTCCAGGAAAAACAGAGGTTTCTGACAGACGTTCTGCATGAAGTGATGCTGCTGGACGGCTTGGCCAGTTCCCATCCAGTATCACAGGAAGTTCTACAGGCAACGGATATCGACAGGGTGTTTGACTGGATCGCCTATAAAAAGGTGGGACTAGATAAAAATCCAAGTGCTAACTGGACATTTCACTATCTTAGTGTAGACAAACTATTTCATTCTTCTCTTCTTCCTGGCAGATAGAAATGGCTGTGAGTTAGAAAACATAGAGTCACAAGATTCATGCCATTTTATGTTAGGACTTTGCTTTACAATTTAGTAATATAGAGATGAATGTTTGCCAAATAAAGCATAAATATATTGGAAGTATTAATGAATAAATGTTTGAAGACTTGATATGAAATTGCTATACAAATGGTGCTATGTAAATGTCAGTTTTAATATTACTAATAAGAGAACGGATCTATGTAGTGACAAATTATTTTTTCACCAATGCCTCTTAAATACTTACTTGTTTTGATTGATGTCAGTGGGTGTAGGCAGAGACATGGCATATGTATTTTATAAACATCGTTTAAGGGAGCTTTAGAGGATTAAGCATGTTTCTGGATAATAAGCATACTCAATGAAAATTTAAAGACTAGACTTCGAATGGCAGAGATTTTGGACCAATGACCAAACATGGAAATAAGAGATACTGTGAGATTTTTCTCATTGTTACTTGGATAATGATTTTCCTTAGATCTCTATCTTTTATAATCTTAATATGAGCATGTACATCTCAGTATTTAACACTTAGTAGCTACTTAATAATTGTTAAAATAGTGTTAAAGTCTATTTCATCTTTAGTGTAGATTAAATTTCATTTATGGGATTTCTATGTACTTTATTGATTTAATAATGTTTTAACTTTTTAAAAAATGTTGCTAATTTTTTTCTGAAAAGCAAGATATTACTATATATAACTAGAAATGAAATAATGATTCATCAAAATTCTTTAGTGCAGTAGATACATAGTTTTACATTCAAGAAACAACTATCTCAATAATTATTACTTAATATTGTATGCTGTAATATGTAAAGATACAAATTGTGTTAGAAAATATCTTTTCAAATCACTGATCATTGCATTGGCTCAAAGGGGTTTTTTTAATTAAAAAAATTCAGTTACAGTTAACATACAATATTACATTAGTTTAAGGTACAGAGTGATCACACTGATAAGTAACAAAAAGGGTGTTTTTGATGTTTTATAAAAATAAGTGAAAGTATAGAACCATGTTTAAAATAAATATTTAAAAAATTATTTAATATATTAATATCTATTAATTTTTATATATGATGTTTATGTTAGATGTGCATTCTGTTCCTTAAACTGTATTGGCTCTTAAATATAATTAAGAAAATAATTTATTAAGTTAGCTTGAGATGAGTTTAGAGACATGTCTGTAGTTATTTCCCACCTACCACCAAGTCTGAGACTATTTGTAAATAACAATTTTACTTCGGCATGACTAATATCAAGAAAATATTATTTTGAGTAAATATGTTATAGATGTGCTTTTACACATAAATGACATCTAGTCCAGATTTCATATATTGAGCAACTTCAAATTTATTCAAAAGGTTAAGATTCAACACAGAAGGAAAGAATGAAGATACAATAATTAGTTGTATCTTCTATCCTCTGTATGTGCTTGGCAATTTGCAAATGTGATAAATGGACAAACTATGGTGCTCTTCCTAGGACCACCATTGTAAAGGATACTGGCTTATTTGTCTCTAGCTATTTTTTTTTGTTTTTTACTTTATTGAGGAATAATTGACAAATATAGTTGTATATATTTAATGTGTATAATGTAATGGTTTGATATACATATACATATTGTGGAATGATTACCAAGATCAAGATAATTAACACATTCATCACTTGACACAGTTGTCTTTTTTTAGGAGGTAAGAATGCCTAAGATCTATTCCCAGAAACTTTCAGTTCTTCAACACAATATTATTAACTATAGTCACTATGCTGTACATTAGTTCACCAGAACTTCTTATAACTGAAAATTTGTGTGCTTTAACCTATATGACCCCATTTCTCTCTTCCCCTAGCCCTTGACAACAATAATTCTACTCTCTATTTCTATGAAATTGGCTTACTTGTTTATTTTTTTAGATTCCACAGAGAAATAATACTATATAGTATTCGTCTTTCTCTGCCTGGATTATTTTACTTAGCATAAAGGCCTCCAGGTTAATCCATGTTGTTGCAAATGGCAGGATTTCCTTTTTTAAGGGCTGAAAAATATTTCATTACATATATATATAATATATATACATACGTACAATGTTTTATATATAAATATATAAATATATAAAAAAAATTTTCTATAGCCATTCTTTTGTTGAAAAGCATATAGATTCTTTCCATATTTTGCCCATTGTGAATAAATGCTGAAAGGAACATATCTTTTTGAGATACTGATTTCAGTTCCTTTGGATATATACCCAGGAGTGGGATTGTTAGATTATTTAGTAGTTCTATTTTTAATTTCTTGGGGAACATCCATATTGTTTTCCATATGGCTGTATCAATTTATACTCTAACCAGCACTCTATAAGGGTTCTCTTTTTCTTTACATCTTTGCTAGCATTTGTTCTCTCTTCTTTTTTTTTTTGTTTTTGTTTTTGTTTTTTATAATAATCATCCTAATAGGCATGAAGTGATATCTCATTGTGGTTTTGATTTGCATTTCCCTAATGATTAGTGATGTTGAGTTCTTTTTCATATACTTATTGGCCATTTGTATGTCTTCTTTGGAAAAATGTCTATTCAGTTCCTTTGTCTATGTTTTTTAATTTACTAAATTTATTAGGTGATGTTGGTTAATAAAATTATATAGGTTTCAAGTGTACAACTCAATAATATGTCATATGTATATTGCATTGTGTGTTCTGTTCACCACCCAAAGTTAAATTTCCTTCTGTCCACTTTTTGTTGAACTGTTTGTTTTATTTTGCTATTGAGTTGTATGAGTTCTTTATGTATTTTGGATTTTAACTCCTTATCCGATATATGGTTTGCAAATGTTTTCTCCCATTTTGTTTGTTGCTTTTTTCCAATTTCAATTTGTTTGTTTGTTTTTTGTTTGTTTTTGTTTTTGTGTTTGTGTGTCAAAGATTTTTAGTTTGATATAGTCCTATTTATTTATTTTAACTTTTATTACCTATGCTTTTTGTATCTTATCCAAGAAATCATTGCCAAGATCAATGTCAAGGATCTTTTTCCCTATGTCGTCTTCTGGGAGTTTTATGGTTTCCAGCTTACATTTAAGTCATTAATTCATTTCTAGTTAATTTTTATGAGTGGTGCGAGATAGGGGTCCAGTTTCAGTTTTTTGCATGTGGATATCCAATTTTCCCAACACCATTGATTGAAGATACTATTCTTTCTCCATTGTGTGTTCTTCATGCTCTTATCAAAAATTAGTTGACTATATATGTGTGGAATTACATGTGGGCTCCTTATTCTGTTATACTAATTCTATATACCTGCTTTTTTTTTTTTTTTTTTTTTGCCAGTACCATATTGTTTTGACTGTGATAGCTTTGTAATATAGCTAGAAATCAGGATATGGGATGCTTCCAGCTTTATTCTTCTTTCTCAGGATTGCTTTGGTTATTTGGAGTCTTTTCTAGTTCCATATAGATTTCAGGGTAATATTTTCTATTTCATGAAAAATGCCATTGGAATTTTGATAGGGCTTGCATTGAATCTGTAGATTGCTTTGGGTTTTGTGGATATTTTAACAATGTTAAATTTTCTAGTTCAAGAACATGGGATATTGTTCCAATTATCTGTGTCTTCTTCAATCTCTTCATCAATGTTATAGTTTTCAGTAAACAAGTCTTTCACCCCCTTGGTTAAATTTATTCCTAAATATTTTGTTGCTTTTGATGCTATTTTAAATGGGATTGCTTTCTTAATTTCTCTTTCAGATAGCTCATTGTTAGTGTATATAAATACAACTGATTTCTGTATGTTGATTTTTGTATCTTGCAACTTTACTCAATTAATTTATTAGTTATAACAGTTTTGTTGTTATTTTTTTGGTGGAATCCTTAGGGTGTTGTACATATAAGACCATGTCATCTACAAATGGAGATACTTTTACTTTTTCCTTTCTGATTTGGATGCTTTTAATTTCTTTTTCCTGCCTAGTTGCTATGGCTAGGACTTATAGTACTACTGAAAAGAAATGGCAAGCATGGGCATCCTTCTTTCATTTCTGATCTTAGAGGAAAGTCTTTTAACTTTTCACCATTGAGTATGATGTTAGCTGTGGGCTGTCTTCATGTCCAACCAAGTATCTTTATGCTATAAGTACCACTAAAAATATTGTCTTTACTACACATTTTCAGGTGATGATAGGATCTATTCATTTTCAATGAATACTTTCCAAGAAAAAAATTTTCTAAACACTTATAGGGAGTTATAATTAAAATACAGTAAATTGCACATGTTTAAAAAGTACAATTTGATATGTTCTGACATGTGCATACACAGTGAAAACATTATCATAATCAAGTTAATGAACATGTTTATCAGAAGTTTCTCATGTCTCTTTGTAATTCCTCCTCCCACCTCTACTCGCTCCTCCATTGTCAACTTATTCATGATAGATTAATTTGCATTTTCTAGTTTTATATACGTGGAATCTCACAGTATACAGTCTTTTGTCTGCCTTTCATTCAGTATAATGACTTTGAGATACATTCATGTTGTAGATATGGATATAATACAATTTGCTTATTCATCTGAATATTTAGGTTGTTTCCAGTTTTTGGCTATTACAAGTAAACCTTCTATAAACACTTGTGTACAGGTCTTTGTATGCATATTTGTTTTTATTTCTCTTGGGTAAATACCTAGAAGTGAAATGTCCAAATTATATAATAAGTATGTTTAATGTTTTAAGACTGCTGAACTTTTTTACAAAGTAGTTGTAACATTGTACCATGGTGCATTCCCATAGGCAGTGAGTGTATCAGGATTCTACTTTCTCCACATCTTCACCAATAGAAAGCAGGTATAATCAGTTCTTTTAATTTTATATAAAGTACTTCATTGCAGTTATAAATTATATTCT